AGCAGATAGCGTCCACAATGGAAACAACAGCTGGCTTATCAAATTGTTGCAACCGTGTGCTGATCTATTGGTATATAACTGCGTTTGCCATCATCGTCTCGGACGTCGTCATCACTTCTTTTTGGATAATTCGTATTGAATAAATAGGCAGCTGCTGCTACTGCTATATCCATTTCAGTTAATATTCGTCTTTCACTGAACGACAAACATCAACATTTTCATCGTCATTTTGTTGCGCGATGTGGTTGCACTACGTCGTTCGGTTTGTGGTGATGCTCGTTGCAATGTTGTTCGTCAAAATGCGCGCGCTGCGGTTAGTCGCGAGGTTCGGTTCGCGGTGTTGTTACATATCTGTACATGGCTTTACGTTTTAGTCCTAACTACCGATATAACAATAAGTGTTAAAATATGTATTTCATATAACCTTTTCGCTTTATCAGTGGAATTTTATTTTTGTGATTGTTATCATTTGCCACTGTGCTGTCACTTATGTCAAGTATTCAATCTCAAACCCATGGCTTTAGCTTTGCAAATCGAGTTTCGTGCGACATTTTAGCTATCTTACATGTAACAATTCGAAATTCTAGAACTCCCTGCCCTTAGGCATATTTTGATTTTCATAACCTTCAACTGTTATGATTGTGACTATAATTATACAGGCTTATGCATTTCTTAAACTAACAAATTCTACCGTAACGCAAATGGGACACAAAAGGCAAACTCACATGTGTTTCAACATGCTGCGGTTTAAATAAATAAAATAAATAAAATTCTAAGTTTGATGTTTTGATATGATTACGTTTTCTTAATGATGACAGCTCCCACTTTAAAAAAGGCTCACAAAGTTAAAATCGTTAAAACAAAGCAAGCCTCAGATATCACTCCTATTCAGTGCTTGGCGTTTCTTAAGCAGGAATATGAATTCCTTCATGAGGCACACTTTTCTTGTAATTAGTTGTGGAATTTTAGATTATGAAGGTACGAAGTATGAAGAATTTTACTTCATGCTGCAACTCCATTTTCCCATTTACTCCTTGCAATATCTCATACTTGCTGCTTCTACATGCCCATGGTCTTGTGAGTATCCTGAAATAATGATTGTCAATTTACTATGGAGTCAATTTCAGAACATTTACACATTATACATACTTGTTTAACAGAGCTCATCTTGCAGTTCATTATGATTAAGACTATGATCATACATACAGGCTTTAGACCCAATTTCACTAACATTAATATTATGAACCAATGGGAAAATACCTTATCGAAATGCAATTTGACAGAAGCTGACAAAGGTCTCAGAATTTCAGTGATTTCTATTAAAATATTGAATAAAATCGTGAAAATTCGACTGTATTATAAACAAGACCACTTTGATTCCGACATGATGCTTTTGTACAGAGAAAACAGGACAACTTTCATGTATTTTGATTTCCGTTATAAATTTACATTTAAAAATCAGTTATGCCCAAAGCCAATGGGAATGCGGCAAATAATAGGTCGATTTTCTAGCTATTAAATTTGGCAGCAGATTTGGACGTTTGTTAATGCATGGAAATCTCGAATTTGTGAAGCTCAATATTCTGAGTGTTATCATACATACCTGTTGAATAGTGTGGATTTGTCTGTATTTTGCAAGAAAATAGAATATAAAATACATTCCATCCAATTAATCATCTTCCTTTACATCATATTAATTTATGGGTTAATAAATTTCTTCAAGCAGCAAAAACATTGTCCTCTCCATCCTAAAACACAGATAATATGTGTAAGACGTGTCAATCCCTACATCTCCCTGATGCGTAATACAATTACTATGGACATAGACAAAAAAATTATGAAAAATGTCTCACAAATAATGTCTTTTTAGTCCAAAAATCATAAAAACTAGTAATGTTTATTGTTTGATTGTCTTTTTCACTGGCGGGGATATCTATCTGTCACTCGCAGGGTTGCCAAGTCTAACGACGATCACGTCCCGTGGTGGAGGGTGCAAAATGAATCTTTTACATTTGCTGGTTTTGAATTTAAAGTAAAAAGTACTTATGATAGTTGGAGCTAGACTGATATCACTTCTTGAAGAATATTTGAAAGGTGTGAACACCATTATGGTCTGTTGTATCTTCAAATTGCAAATGAAGTATCTGAAAATTCTTACATACAGTGGACCTTCGTCATAGTTTACCATCCTGATTATGATCATCTTTGGCAAATGTGTTGTAACAAAAAGATATCCTATTTATGAAAATATTTTTGGTAAAATCTAACCGTTGCAATCAGTGCACAAAAACTGTGAGATATGATTTATAGCATAACCCGCTGCTCTATCAACACAAATTTAACATACAGGTCGCCTAGCCGTGGGGATGCAGTGGTCGGGATTAATATCACGGCAGCAACTGATGATTTGGGCATGTCTGGTAACAACGTATGAAGTGAAACTCGCTAACTTCACAAATTTGAAGATTTTGTACAATTTCTTTGAAAATGATGAAAGATATGTCTGATTTGGCACGGTAATGTCGCAGCCAAATGGCAGTCACTCTTTCTGACACAGTCCGGATCGAAAGATGACGATACTCGTGAAATGTATTGATACTCGTGAGGTTAAGTGGTAGAGTAGCCAGCTGGCTAAACTTCGCCTCGCAGTGTGGAGGGATTAATAAAGACATTATTATTATTATTATGCTTCTAAATATAGGATCGTATCGAACATCCCTACTGTCAAGATGTATAACCGGAGGTACCGACGGAGCTATTTTGTGGCGTCATGGAAATAATTTTAAATTTTCATTTGCATTTTTTCAAGTGTTGTGCAACGATTTTGGAAAAAACTCCACGAATAGTCTTATAAAGCATAGTAGAGTGTATTTCAACAGTTGGCGGAGCTTACTCCACTTGGACCAGGGGGGTGAAACGGGATATTAATGCACAATCTGGCAACCATGTCGCATCCTCACAAAACGGCCGCTGACAACCACACAAGTCACCGTGTTGTCATTGAATAGCATGGAATTAAACCTTCTTCAGAGTATATGTTTTATGACTGGGACCAAGGGTTGACAGATCCCACACATGTGTCACTCGGGTCTTGAAATGCAATAATCAGCTGTATTCAAATAATGTCTAATATAAATATAACCTAGAATGTGTACTCGTGAAAAAAGAAAAATATGGCAAATTTGTAGTTTTTTTGCAGGTTTTAGGTTTGCTGGTAGCTTTAAGGCATATCATTGGGAATTTCATAATCGCTGTGAATATAGTGTGGATGTTTGTTCAGTTCCTGAACAACGAAAAATATTCAACCTTATGGATGTATGGATATAAAAAAACCAGAATGGTTTTGTGGGAATATCAATCTAATGTGCCATAATGGTTCTGATGAACGGCAAGTAAATGAATGAATGTTTGGAAACGAGCAATATCTATGAAATTTTTGGTAGAGTCTGTCATCAAGTAGGTGTTTAATGGCTATCTACAAGAGGTTTATAGGGAAAAAAACACGGGAGGTGATGTTAAATCACTAAAATCGCATGTCAATTGAAGGAAATAATATAAACATGAATAAATATCAACAATAGTAATTAAAACATCAATTTTATTCAAAAATCAAACATTTCTTTAAATTTTGACTGAAATATATGTAATTTCTTGATATTCAATAAGCTGGTGATGTTTCAATGACAAGCTGACATCTCATACTTTGACAGTGTTTTGTTTTCAACATTTCATAGCTATTGGTTGCTAAAATTTGATAGGAACTTGAAGCTCATTCGTTGTATTTGACGGACTGTTACCCGATAGGTGGAGAATAACGGACTGTTGATTTGACAACCTTGGTGAAATTGGTCCTTAGTCTACCTTTAATTTACAAATTGCAGTGTATCGGTCACAAAAAGCAAATTCACGTTTTGTTTCTGTAAGATTGGCTCCTTCAAATATGCCTTCAAGTGCCTGGATGCATAAATTCCATCGTAGGCAGATAATTCACCTCTTTATCCTTCCAAAATAGAAATGTAATTTTACTGAGTTTTGTATGCAACATCAGGGTGGTTTATAACTAAAAAAAAAGATGCATCAATTCAAGAAAAATTGAAAATTTCACACCTTGGTGTGGGCTGCAACCTTATAATAATATTTTAGAATTATAGTCTCAAATTTTTAGGTCAAAGTTCCCACTAGTATAAAAAATTATCAGATAGGGCAGGAGATCACGTTTAAACTCAATTTCAGAGCATTTACACATTATACATACTTGTAGCCTGACACTCTAATCCAAGGTCCAACAATGATTTGTGAACAGGCATCTCTGACATCAACAATGGAATTGAACCTGGGTAACAATGTTTCTTATCCAACATCTCATAAAGTCTGTGAGAACGAATCACATCTGAAAAAAATACAATAAGTATTTGAATATGCAATAATTAATTGTGTAACTTACCTACCTTCATCAAAGGACCAGCTTGGTTGTAAGCTGTTGGGCTTTTATATATAAATACACATCCATTTGCGTTAAATTGTTCATTTCAGATCTTTAATACAAGATATTGGATTTTTTTTATTGTTTTGATTTATCTGAAATTTCTTAAACGTCAAAAAAACATAATCTAACAACGCAATTGTCGGCACGGTAGAAATCTAAAGCAGCCACACACATGCCGTGTTGAAGGATACAAGATATTACGGAAGTTAAGGTGGCCATAAAGTCGTCCTACAATATTGTAGGAACGACTATGGCCCTGTAAGCAACTGACGCGATCTGATTTCAGTAGGCCAAATCGCGCTAGTTTCAAACTATCATTTCTTGATTTGCTACGAATTGATCAAAGTTAAACGGTGAAATTGTCACATTTACACGAAAATATGCAATTTGAATTCCACCAGGCAAGGGTGACTCAATTTTTAGGAAACACTAAAAACGTGTTTCTTCACTTACATATACAGAAATTTGTTGATATTTGTTGGGAATGGAGCACGCCAGGGGAGTATACATTTTGTTAATTTTCAAGCATATGATGTCTTTTAAGTTTTGCATATGGAAATAAAACAACACGGTAGGTAGTTTTAAATGACTTTATTTGTTTTTCTAAGTATTCTCCACGAAGATTAATACACATCTGCATGCGCTCGAACCAATTTTCGAAGCACTTATTCCACTCGTTTGCTGGCAGATCCAAAACGGCATTTTTGAATACGTCAACTGCTTCTTCTGGTGACTGGAACCTTTGACCACGCAGTCTGTTTTTAATTTTCGGGAAAGTAAAGAAATCGCTAGGACTTAGATCGGGACTATCTGGCGGATGGTCCAATAATTCCACGTTTTCTTCCGTTAAATATTGCCTTGCTTTTTTGGCTGTGTGCGAGCTTGCATTGTTTTGGTGGAGGATGATTCTTCTTTCGGGGTTTTGTTGGCTTTTCTTCACCTTGGAACACCCAAACAGCCGAATGTCGTTTATTTTCTGGTTCATTACAGTAAATCCACGATTCATCACCACTAACAATGCTGTATACATTTTTTGAGTTTCCGGAATTGAAACGGTCAAGCATTTTTTGACACCAATTAACCCTGGCTTCTTTCTGCTCTTCAGTCAACAGGTGGGGTATCTAACGAGAAACTAATTTTCTTACTCCTAATTCCTCATGTAAATTTTTTTGAATTGAGGTCTTTGAGATCTTCAAGGACGCCTCAATCTCGCGATATGTCACATGTCTATCTTCAATGATGAGTTTGCGCACAGCATCGACGTTTTCCTGGCTGACTTCCGTTTTTGGTGCACCCACCCTGGAATCGTCGCTAAGACTCATCCGTCCACGTTTGAATTCTCCATACCAATGGGAAATTGTCGACTGATGTGGCGCTTCGTTGCCGAAAACAAACAGTAACTCAGTAAGGCATTCTTGTTGCGATAATTGTCTCTGAAAGTTGTAATAAATTATGGCGCGAAAATGTTCTCGGTTGAGTTCCATTTTTCTAATGACTTGGTGACACTTAAAAATTCACTGTAGTGAGAACACTGCACGTATTGTTGTGAAACTTTGAATTTAAGTTTACTAAAGTGTGATGTTAAGATTCAGTACTGACGTTCGATCCGCGCGGCCTACTATGTTTCTATATGCAAAACTTAAAAGACATCCCTCGTATTTGTCCCTAAATCTTAAGGGTTACCTTAGTTTCAACATCTGTTCCAAATAAAGCATGATATTTTAGACCTTTTGGATGGTTTAGTTTCACAATTTGTCGATTTGCTTGAGATTTTTTGTCGGAACATTGAAATCCCAAATATCGTAAACATTATGCTCACCCAGCTAAATGTTTCTAAACATCTAGAATTTGGTTGAAGTTTATGTTTAAAATCACTTGCACTTGTCAAGGCAAATCTAGAGACTCCTCATATGTCAAAATCTGAATCTATCTGAGGCAGTCGGGTAAACATTGTCTAGGCTGCACAACTGTTTTTTACGATGCGTTTTATTGGAAAGTCAAATCAATTTTGAGAATACCCGGCCGAGTACCCGATACTCGGTGTTTTGGAAAATTATTAATCGGTGCATCCCTAGAAATAATGAATTACACTGCTCGCGATGACTGTAAACCAGAACAATGATTCTGGGAGAAATAACAATTCACAAAAAGGAAACGTTCACTCAGCGTTCCCTCGTTCGTTCACTCATCTGTGCATGGTGAAGCTAAAAAGTGGCAAACAACGTAACAGCGAATACTTTCATAATTCTCTTAATGAATGACTGTGCATCGCGTTGACCTGCATAACGTTTGATAACCTTAGTCTTCTCCTTTGCACGCGCCCGTGTGAGAAAATATGTTTTACTTGGCAGGTGTTTAGAAATGCGAGATCTTATACCTGAAGGTCTATTTTATTTAAATACATGCAATATGTTTCTACCTCATACATTGTATTTGTAGGATATAATTTTCAAAATTTCAATAAATTCCTGAATTACTCCCGGTACGATATACCGTACGCATACCAACCATCATTCCATGCTTTTCAAACCACTGATTATCGATGGCTCGAATACTACTGAATCTGTCTCTCAGAGCCAGAAGTCTTAACTGGCAGTCTTGTTGCTCTGTGGTCCCTCTGGGACGTCCAGAACCCCTCGCTTGCTGTCGTCGGCCTTTTTGAGTCCACTCTCATTCACACTGCAGTATTCTGCTTAAGGGTCTGTTGGTCCTCCTAGAAACTTCTCTTATCGAAAGACCGGCTTCACGCAACCCGACAATTTGACCGCTCTCAAAGTCACTTGGCTGGGACACCCGGCGAATTCTAGGCACTCTAGGCATTTTGAGCAATCGCAAAAATGCTTCTCAATAAGCTGCACGAAATTTAACATTTAACTGACACCGTACGTGTACGAAAACTGAATGCTTCTCCATCTCCAAAGAACTCACTCATCCACCACAAAAACTTAACAGAAAAATCTACCATTTTATCACTTGTTGTTCATGGCAAGATAAATCGATTTGTAAAAAATTCTGGCATGCTAATAAACATACGTAGGTGTTTACCTTTTTTACTCAGTATATGTTGAAAAAGCGTGTTTCAAATTCGTAAATTGAACCCGTTTGAATCTCAAGAATTTTTCATTTTTATTCTATTTTGTCAGTTACTGTTTGCAGAAATAAGTAGAAACATTCAAAACGTACTGTATCGATGTAAAATATTTATATTCAGTCGAAATAAAATTTTTGGATAACATCCCATTTTGAGCTTGGACAATTTGAGGATCTTTTGATATTTTTGTACACACATCAATCGTCACTGCGCCGAGTTTAGGCACGTACCTTTCAATTTTCATTTGGTGGCTCCCGGAAATTTAATATATATTTTTTTTCTAAACAGTCACACAAAAAAGGATAAATCTAGTCACCCTGACCAAAATAATGAAATATCAAAAAAAGTTTTTACAAAAATAGATCGTAAAATGTCCCTTTGCCAAGATATAATTTCTATGCCACCGACGGTAGCGTTAGCGTTGCGTGAAATGTTTGCTGAACGTAAGACGACTTAACTTGTTATCATTTGTCAGTTCATGTGTGACCCATTTGCTTAACTTCCACGTCTTTCCTAGCTGATGAAGATGCAAACGAATAGTTTCAGGACTCACTCTGAACATTTCTGCAAGTTCTTGGCACGTTGTCCTGGAATTTGCGTCCACAACCTGTCGAAGATCCTCGTTGTTCATGATTTTTGGTCTCCCTGAGCGCGGTCCATCGCTCAAACTTAGATCTCCAGAAGGAAATTTTTTTGAACCATTTCTGTGCTGTTCGATCACTAACGGCATCATATCCGAATGCGGTACATATTTTTCGCGCCGCCGCTGCAGCTTTTGTACCAAGCTACAACTTCGAATTACTGTTTTATTCGTCGCCATTTTCAATTGTTAAAACTAGGTATGTAATGATTTTCAGCAACTTTTTATGTGTGTGAGGAAAGAAGGATTCATACTAAAGTGACAACAGGTAACAAACAATTGCTATCGATCAACAACATCCATGGCAACGTGCGATATACAACAACCGCACCAACTTATTTGATAAAATGTCTCTATACCAAGATATAATTTCTATGCCTCTGACAGTAACGACTGATTATTTATATAACATGAGTAGTCTTCTAAAAGGAATGCATTTCTTAAGAGGGTGGTTTGATAAAAATGCTACATGATGTTTCAGACAAGTCAGATGAAAATATTTTTTCTCCTGTGGTCTATAATTATGTTTTGTATTTTTTGGCGGCGCTGCTTGCACTGCATCTACAAAGTCCTAACTCAATACATTAATCCACAGATTTAGTTTTGGAATGGATCTCACACCCTGTGTCGACGTAGTTACAGTCCTAGAAACATTTACACTGCTGTCTGAATCACAACAGTGTGTGATAGTACATTTTCTCGTCATTCTGTAGATGGTCGCATTGCCAGCTTATGCCCATAATGCATATATGCGCTATATCCTAATTTGTATAAGGCGTGACCTCATATCTAATCAGTTTTGTTTTTTATACTCCAACTACCACGAAGGCCTAAACACGCCTACGAGATCCGCGTCCAACAGTTAGAGACCATCTACCACCTGTGGTGATTCTTGAAGGTGGACGGTGGTATACCTTACTAGATATTTGATATTTTTTAAGATTAACTGTTAAATTATCGACACCTCAAATGTATGTGTGATATGTTATTTTTAATACTATTTTTGGAGGTAACTTTTCAATAAATGAAATATATCACTTCTGGTTTTTTGAAGTAGCTTAGAGTGTCGGCTTTTCGACTTTTTATTTTTTTTTTCGAATTGGAATTATTCCTCTGCATACATAATGAAAACGAGTCGCAACTGAATTGTCAAAAGTTCATGATGAGGAATGTTCTTTCAGTTGAAAGTTATTGCGATTAAGCACGTTTTTGCAGTCGGATATTCGAGTTAATCCTAGAATCTGTAAATAAAAATCCATGTGTACTTGAATAGTAAATACACTCCTATTTGCTTGAGCCTGCTACTAACGAGCGTAACCAAGTGGAAAGGAAAGCGCCTTGTCATTAGTAATGGGTTGATTGACCAGCAAGGTGATGGAGAAGTACACGTTAAACATTACTAACGAGTTAAGCTTGCTCCTAACTTACGTATGGTGGTCTCAGAAGAAGACTGCTAGCAACTTCTTCTCTGATGCAAGACTGAAGGTTATCTCTCGGCTTGGATATGCAACAGTCTAGTATACAGTTCCATGCTTTCCCGTACGAGGTTTGTAAATTAAGTGATGAGACTGGCAACGTAGCATTCGATCTGGCAACTCTGGAGGCACCGGGTTTGGAAGGGAGGGGCTTTTTATCAGTCTTTGGCTCTGATGTGATGTAAAATCTGCTTCTGAGATGGCATTACTGGAGGTCTAAGCTGTAAGTTGTATGTGTTGATGATAATTACATTGGGTTCTTGTCTCAAGTACACTTAATTGAGATTCAAAGCTAGTTGCGCATCCACTTCTTCTTATCCATTCTGGAAATTATATATACAAATTTTCTGAATTTCAAAAATGAGAGATAGAAAAATTTGATTTTTCGAAGCTCGGTGATGACTTTTGGCAAATAAATGGTGCTATACCAATCCGCAGTAACAGTTCTTTGCTCATTAAGAGGAATTGTTGCAATATGACCCGCTTTTGACACAAATGTCGCGACCATCTTTTTCGAAACACTTCGAGAACGGATGACGTTTGTTGGCTGCAACCTCACCGACGAAATCCTGATGAAGGCTCCATAGAGAATGCCGAAAGCTTAATTTTATCGTCAAAAGAGTCAACTGAAGCCTAAGAGATTTGCCAATTTTCCAATTATCAATTAATTATATTTTGTAAACAACTGGTCGTTGGCTTTGGCAATGACTACGGCTCATATATACAGGGTGACTTCGAAGTTGAGTCATTTATTTTAACACTGAGTAGATCTGATCAAAAGAAATTTTTTTCCTTTACCATTTTTCTGGTAAAATTAAAGTAACAAAGTTATAGCCCTTTGGAAGTTTGAGTACCGCCCTGTCTCAATAATAATATTATGTGCTCGTGTTTGGCAACAACGGATATAATCCGCCTTATCGGTTCATCGCATCGGAAACAAAAAAGCGAAAGAATTTGGAACGATGTTTTTACAATTATTTTATTCAGTTGTATACAGTCAGTGTCAGTCGGTAACGCGTGAGTGAATAGTGGTGTCTGTTGCGTGGCTCAAACGAAATAAAAAATGGCACATGTTTATGCGGATCGGTTTCCCAATCGAGTGCAACCAACCACTCGTGCCTTTGTTAATGTAGTACAACGGGCTCGTGAATCAGGTGACTTAAGACCTCACAGGGGACAGCATGCCGGTGCTCCAAGACCTCACGATCAAATACAGGTCCGCACTGAAATACTTGTCGGGAGGATACTTTATAAAACAAGGTAACATTTATTTATTTTTTTTTTATTTTTACACACATATTTTGGTTTATCTTCCTTCTACAATCATTATCTGAAAATTAATGACTCAACTTCAAAGTCACCCTGTATAAAATTGAATCCAAACTTGCACAAATATACAGGGGCATTTGAAATTTTTGATAAAAACTACAATTTGCATTTTTGACCACCCGGTATGAGCAAAAATTAAAATTCGAAAAAGTAACAAATGAAATAAAAGCTGAGGCGTGTAAGTTTTTTTTGACACACTCCAAATTTCAAAATGGCGTTCTGAGGGGTTGCCGAAGTGGGGGTTTTTTTATAGACAAAACACCTTATATCTCAGTAGCTAATTACCAAAACCCCATAGTATGTTATATCAATTTTCTTCTTTTGAATTTGTTTATCCAAATATGCAATAAAATTTGAGGCATTCCATTTAAAAAATCACAACTTTGATATGTAGGTCGAAATTAGGACACCCTGTATAATCGCCAATATTTTAGAAATGTGCCCTCAAATGTCATGTATAACATCCCATAAATAGATTTTCCCAAAATGTATTTGTTTATGAGTAATATTCCACACATGGATGGGCATACCCTGTATATACACCTAAATTAAACAAAATTTCATTTTTGTTAAAATTTAGATTTATTGCCACGTTTTTCTGCAACCGCTTTTTCACGATTTTATTCAATATTTTAATAGAAATTACTGATATTAATAGAGCTTTGACAGCTTCCGTCAAATTGCATTTCGATAAGATGCTCCCCTATAGGTGGAAGCCAATGTCAAATTGAAATCTGGGTGAAATTGGCCCTTTTATTACACGTTCAGGTTCAAAATAAATGCAACAACCAAAATTTTGGTCAAATTCGGAACGACATAACTTTTTTGCTTTTACCTCAATTTTATTGATTTTTTCGGCAGGTACACTCATTGGCGCATTAATGTTCTTGATTGTAGCCACAGTTTGACTTGCACAGGGCAAATCAAAATGATGATTCATTATTCCAACTTTGAGTCACTATGTTGTGTGAATCCAGTTGCCAATCAGACCGCAATGCTTTCCACTATCAAGAACCATATTTTCTCTATAATCTGTTTTTTTAACCACCTCAATAAAAATACAGTGGCTGAAGTTTTAGAGCCAAATGAACATTTTATCTACAATTTTCCTTTCTCCTTTCAAAACTTTTCTAATTCCCGTACGAATTCAAAAAGTTTTTCACCAAATTGTACAGAAATCTAATGCCTTTCTGCGTTAGGTTCACATTTTTGTAAATCTGCATTGATATCGTTAATCTACAGTGGCGACAGTGGCGAGGAAAATGGAAACTTTTGACATAATTTAAGAATACTCTGTGTAATAATTATCTAAACTTCTGAAAACAGTGTCAGGGCAATAACCATATCTCCCTTATCCTCGAGTTTTGTGTTCCTGAACATTCTAGCGAGAATTGTTATTTTGGAACAAAATGAATATAACACAATTTACAAATTTTAATCATAAGTAATATCATAAGGGCATCTAATTTTTCCGAAAAAAAATCGAAAAATTACGTTTCTTATTAATATTTTAACAAGAAGCATGAGTGCTGGTGGCAACAAAAATCCGAGTCGACATATTGTATGTGTCAAGAGGCATTTTATGCCGTTCAAAACAAAAATGACTCGAATTTTTTTTCAATTTGATGCACAATGCAAAATAAAAACTGTTTCTCTCTTCGATCATAACAATAGTGTTAACATAAAAATATCATGCAGAGAAATATTTTTTATTTTTGCGCGGAAATCATGGATCGGGCTTGAAAAAATAAAGGTAGTGCTGTGACTTATGTCAAGTATTCAATCTCGAACCCATAGCCATAGCCTTGCGAGATTTTATCAAATAGAAATATCGATTACATTATTCAAGAAGGCACTTTATCGAGTTTCGTGCGACATTTTCGCTATCCCATATTCAACATTAACCATTCGAGGACCCCCTGCACAGGCATAACAAAGCTCATCTTGAACTTCATAGCTTTCAACTTTTATGATTGTGACTATAATTATACAGGTTTATGCATTCCTTAAATTAACAAATTCTAATGTAACACAAATCGGACACTTTTCTTGTAATTAGTTGAGGAATTTTAGACCGTGAAGGTATGAAGTATGAAGAATTTTACTTCGTGCTGCAACTCCATTTTCATATTTACTCCTTGTAATATCTCATACTTGCTGCTTCTACATGCCCAAGGTCTTTTGAGTATCCTGAAATAATGATTGTCAATTTACTATGGACTCAATTTCAGAATATTTACACATTATACATACTTGCTTAACAGAGCTCATCTGTTCATTATGATTATGCATACCTTTAATTTACAAATTGCACATATCGG